CACCGTGCCATCCAAGGGGGGATGGGTTACTGCCAAAGGGGCAGCAGCCATGGCTCCACCCACTTCACCCACATACATGCCATTTATTGAGTGCTTACTATATGTAAGCAGCGAATTAAGTCCTTTTCATGGTTTTTTTTCAATTTTTCTTTATAATAGCCCTGGAGATTGGCATATTATCCCTGTTTTACAGATGAGGAAACAGCGGTGCAGGGAGGTGTTTGTTCAGTATCAGTGTACATGGTAGACCCAGGATGTGATAAAGTTGAAAAGACAGGGGAATTGATTATTAATTTATATAAATAAGGGAAACTAGCTACCATTTAGCTACCTGCTAAATACTCTGTTCATCATCTCTATTCCCTAGAATAACTGTGCAAGCCACGCTTTACAGAGGAGGAGATGGAAAGCCAGATGGGTTTAGTACATTGCTCAGGGTCCTGTCACTAGAACGGGCAGGCTGGGATTAGAACCAGCCTGGCTGATTTCAGAGGCTCTTAATCTCGGTGTTGGCCACACTCTTTGTGAATGGGCGCCCACCTTTGGAGCTGATCTGAAAGAGCTTGTGATCATCCGCTTCTTAGCTCCTCTGTGGTTCTGGGGATGCGCCCCCCCCCCCAACATTCAGTGCCTGGGCTGATTCCTCAGGTGTCCCAAGTCTCCCTTGGGGGCCATGCAGCCCACCAGTATCCGGGGCCTGCTGCTCTGCTTGTATTCGTGGTCTGGTGACCTGGGCACCGTCCTGCTTCCCAAGCCCCCAGGGGCATACTCTGCCTCTCTCTGCTCCCTTGCTACCCGGAAGCTGGTTCACAGTGGTCTCTTATCTCCTGTCAGCTCCTGAAATGGTAAAGGGAGACCCCATCGGTTCTGCCACGGACATCTGGGGAGCGGGTGTGCTCACTTACATCATGTGAGTACCCCCAGACCCTGCCCTCTGCCTGCACCCCCCACCTCCCCAGCCACACATGCATGTGCCCGACTTGTGCACACACACACACACACATGTGCACTCACAAGTACGCAAGTAGCCTTGTCCCTGAGTGCTGTGCTCCTAGAAACCCCCACACTACTATCCTCCTGGACCTGTGAGTTCCCCCTCAGTCTGCATCTGTTAACTGAACTGTCTCCTCTGCAGGCTCAGTGGACGCTCCCCATTCTATGAGCCAGACCCCCAGGAAACAGAGGCCCGCATTGTGGGGGGCCGCTTTGATTCCTTCCAGCTGTACCCCAACACATCCCAGAGTGCCACCCTCTTCTTGCGAAAGGTCCTCTCAGTACACCCCTGGTGAGTGGGTCTCACACCTGCCAGCCTCCCAGCATGATCTTCTCCTAGCCTCACACTGCCCTGGCTCAGCCCACACCTAAGCCCCCCAACTCCTACCCCACACCAATAATATGCTGCTGCTGCTATTACTACGGTCACTACTCCTCCTTCTCCTAAGTGGCTGTTCTACCACCATATAAAGCCCATAACAGCCCTATGACACAGGCAGAATCATTGTCCCCATTTCAGAGACTGGGAAACTGAGTCCCAGAGTTGTCCAAGCTCACTCCCTAGGGGTCAATCCTGGATTGGGAGTCCTGTCTCTGGGAGGGTGGAGTCTGTCCTGCTCCGGGAGCCATGCCTCCAGGCTCACTGTCCCTGGCTTGGCCTGGCAGGAGCCGGCCCTCCGTGCAGGACTGCCTGGCCCACCCGTGGCTGCAGGATGCCTACCTGATGAAACTGCGCCGCCAGACGCTCACCTTCACCACCAACCGGCTCAAGGAGTTCCTGAGCGAGCAGCGGCGCCGCCGGGCCGAGGCTGCCACCCGCCACAAGGTGCTGCTCCGCTCTTACCCAGGCAGCCCCTAGCGCCTCGGACCATAGCCCAGCCACGGGCTTCGACTCGGGGTTCCCGCTGACGCCCCGGGACATTCCAGGGTCCCCGCGGAGCCGGGTGGGCCCGGGGGGCTTCGGACACCACCAGCAGCAACATCCGGCCGGGCTATTACCTCATGGACCTGTGGGGACAGAGACCCTGGGCTTCAGCCGATGCCACCCAGCTGGAGCCAGAGCGGGAGACCCATGGGCCAGGCTGGGTGGGGTCAGGATCAGGTCAAGAGGGACAAGGCGGGAATGGGCAGGTGAGGGAAAGCAGCCGAGGCATAGGGAGGGGGAGACTCTACTGAGGTTCTGGGGGAGGGAGACAGAGCATCTGGGGGAGAACCAACCCAGGAGGGTGTGAATGAATGGAGAGGAGGAAATGTGGGGAGCCCAGGGTGTCTACAGGCCAGGGGCTGGGAATGTTACTGATGCAGGGACAGGACGTGGAGACAGTGTCAGGGAGCCAGAGGCAGTACGTGAGAGAGGGCAGCGAGGTGAGAGAGGGAGAGGAGAGAGGACTCGGGTGGGGGCCAGCGGCCAGCTGCCAGCCTCCCCAGAAGGTGAAGCTTGGAGGGCTGAAGGCTGGAGGCAGGGTCTCTCAAGCCAGCAGCGCTCTCCTCCTATCCTGGTGAATGCAGCGCTGGGCCCTCTGCGCTGGCCCGAGGATGTCCCCGCCGCCTCTCTGTGGCCTTCACCCCCCTTCTCATTCATATTTATTTATTTATTGACTTTTATGAAGTCTCCCTGCCATCCAATCCCTCTTGCCTATGTTGTCCTGACCATCCCCCCCCCCCCCCAGCCATCCAGCTGTCTGTGCAGCTGTCTGTCTGTCTGTCACAAGGAAAATAAAAAACGGCAAGCAGCAGGACCTATGTGTGTGGTCTATGGGGAGGGATGGCTGGGGGTACCGCGCATACACGATGCTGGGGTACTGGGACGGGGCATTCCAGCCTTTTCTGGGCCAGTGAGAACTGAGGTATATCACCTAGCACCTTAGGACCTTCCTCCCCTGCCCCCTGACCCTCCTGGCCCCTCACCTGTCCCTAATTCCTTGAGAGAGGAAAGATGTGGGTCTGTTTCTCCCTCTAAAGTTTCTGAAATCCTGGCAGGACCACTGAATCCCCACCACCAGCCTCTAACCATACGGGTGGCCCCCACCTCTTCTCACATGTTCCATCATCACAGTGGGAGGATGCTGGGCTCTGGAAGGGACCAGCCCACACCCCCATCCTGGCTCAGCCTTCTTCACTCTGTTCAGGGGACAGGGAAGCTCTGGTCCTGACCCCTGGAGCAGAGGGGGTTTCATCATGATGATTGGTGAGAGCAGATGGTGAGAAGAACTGTGGGGGAAAGCAGGACAGGCTCACGAGCCCACACTCTGAGTCAGAGCACCAATCAGGACACACGGGGCATCTGTGAGTGCTGCAGTCAGCGCGCCTGCTGTGATGGGACCATAGATGAGGACTTTCCTGGGGCCCAGGGACACTCAGCCTGGCCCTTCTTATTCCCACTGGGTGCTAAGGTGCCTTGACTCTAGCTGACCCCCTTCAATGCCACAGAAGGGTCACTGGGTCCTGTAACTGGGCTGCCCGCCCTGAGGTGGATGGAGGGGGAGCCAGTTCTTTGTCCAGAGGGGCTGTGCCCCCCTGTCCCTCCCCAGACTGAATATTATGTTCTTGGCAATGTAAAAGAAATAAAGCTTTTCACCATGAGCACAGAGAGCTGGTGCTGGTGTATTGCTGATCAAGGTTGAGGGTCCCTTGGCTGTAGTCCAAACCACCTTTTGCCCAGCCCAGCCTCTCTGGCTTCTCAGAACACCAGGGAAGAGCCAAACCCCATCATCATAAAATAACAGGATGTTAGGGCCAGCTGGAAGGGGCCACCTTTCCCACCTGCCATTTTAGCAATGAAGATATACAGGTTGCCTGTGAGAGTCTCTAATCCCCTACACACTGTAAGTGTTTTCATATAAAAATGAGGTGCCTGAACTCATATCTTGATAAATGGTAAAATTCTTCTCCCGTCCCCCCTCTGATCTTGAGCTTCCCTCTCATCTCCATTGGAAATGGCATGTGAACTGCTTGTTCCAAACTCGGAGGAGCAAAGGTAATTTATGTCAGCAGAGCTGTGTCAAAACTGCTCTGATCAAAAGCTGACAGCACTCTGCACCTGGGCAGGCAGTTACAGTGAAGGGAAGCAAGGCTTGCCCTGGCCTGGGTGGACTGGACTCCAGGCAAATCTCGGAGGAGTTAGCCCCCTCACCCCTGGTGGTCTGATGCCCCTATACACCAGCTTATGCCCAGGGAGGGAGCTTGGGCAGACCAAGAGTGTCAGAGTCAGGGCCAATCTCCAGGGACAGTGTAGCCCAGCCAGACCCTATGATGTCACATGGAGGGGAGTGTGGGAACGGGGAGGCAGGAGAGGATGCTGTTCTCAAAAATCCTTAAGGTCCCTTCTAGATTTATCTGTTCACCACCAGGAGGCACAGCGTGGAAATGACAACCCTAGACTCCTGGGTTGGGGGGAGTAAGGTCTTTCCAGATTGGTCCTGACTGCCATGTGGGTCCCTCCTAATTGGCTAGCTGGACAGTGAAGCCCACCGCCACCATGGCTTCATTCAAGGGCACCTCCACAAACACTCACACCCCTTAACTGACTGTGTCCAGGAACGACGTGTTGTTCCTCTCTCTAGGGACTGGCCTGAGTGTAAACTGCCCCAGCAGGGAGCTGAGTCTCCTGTCGACCTGAGACCTGAAGCCGTGCCTAGTTCTCCTGGGAGTGAGATGGAGAGCCCCTGCTCTGGGAAGGGGATGGGGCCATGCCCAGCTGCCCAGTTCTCCGGGTGCTGACATGTGGTGCACCCCAGAGCTGCTCGGGTTTCCCCTGGGGGCTGCCCCAGTGGCTGAGCTAGCATCCCAGGCATCCTCAGGCTAAATAAGAAGACTGTGTGGGTCAGGGAATGGGGGCTGGGGTCCCCGGGGGCTTGGGGCAACCACGCCAAAGAAGGCAAGGAGGGGAGCCATGTATAAAACCTGGGCCTAGGGCTGAACACCTACCCACGCCCTGGCCCTGCCGTTTGGAAGGGCATGCTGCCTGCCACCCAGCTAGTCGACCCACGTCCTGAACTTGAGCCCTCATGAGTCTAGATCTTCAGGTCAGCCTAGACACTCCCACATAGGGGGATGTTCTGAACCTACAGGGAAAAGTCTGAAGTTCGGAATCTCTGTGTCAGCCTAGACCTCTTTGTTTGTTTCCTGCTCCCCAGATGTCCAAAGCAGCTCCCGCCAAAAAACCAGCGGCCCCTCCCCGTGGATGTACACTGGATATCAACAACCCCCAGGTTCAGAAAGCAACCATTCTCATCCAGGCCTCTTACCAGGACCACAGGTAAGGGGGAGCTCTGGAGAATCACTGGAGGAAGGGAGCTGGAGCTGCAGAAGGTTCACAATTGCATTTGGGGGGTGGGGGTAGACTGAACACTGTATTTGGGTGGTGGGGGGAGACTGATGCTGAAGCTGAAACTCCAATACTTTGGTCACCTGATGCAAAGACCTGACTCATTGGAAAAGACCCTGATGCTGGGAAAGATTGAAGGAGGGAGGAGAATGGATGGATGGTTGGTTGGCATCACCGACTTGATGGACACGAGTTTGAGTAAGCTCCGGGAATTGGTGATGGACAGGGAAGCCTGGCATGTGCAGTCCACGGGGTCGGAAAGAGTCAGACACGACTGAGCACAGTGTCATGTACCTATAGGGTCACTGGACTTAGAGGAGAGCGGTTTCTGAGGGGAGGAGGGGTGGCTGTCAGAATAGACAATTTTACTAACAATTCAGGAGCGGCTGTCTTCCCTACCCACCCCCACACGTTTAAGGGTCTAGTGGGCTAAGGTGGGGGAGGGGAGCAGGGGATGCTGTACGGATGGACAGGGCTGCAGGTGGGCCCGTCAGGAGAGCTTGGGGCCCTGACCTGGACCGTGCTGGTAGGTCCTGGAAGGAGCTGCGCGAGAAGGGGCCGCCGAGAGTGCTGGAGCCGCTGAAGGACGTGGTGCTGCTGATGGAGTGCAGCGTGGCGAAACTGACTTGCCGTGTTTCGGCGTTCCCGGACCCATTCATCCGCTGGGGCAAGGACCGCAAGGAACTGGGCAACGGGCCCAAGTATCGTTACATCTTCAAGGACCCTGACATAGTTGCACTGGTGGTGCAAGATCGCGAGCTGCCAGATCTGAGCCAGTACAGCATCCAACGTAAGCAACCCCTTCGGCCAGTGCTCCGACTCGGCGCGCATTCTTGGGGAAGGTACTTCTCGCCCTGGCTGCAGTGTCACCGCGCGAAGCAGCACCAGCTAGCGTGTGCCCACAGCCTGGTCTTGCTGCGCTTACCGCTGGGCCTCCAGGTGTCCGCAGGGGGGTGTGGCCCAGCCCCCGCACAGCCTGAGCGGCAGACCAGAGCGCAGCGCTGGCCGCGCGCGTACTCCTTTCCTACCCCCAGAATTCCATCCCATCTAGCCTAAGAAGCCCGCTAAGGGCTTCAGTCACGCGATTCCAGGGCCCCAAGGTCACCGAGAGCCAGAAGCAGAGGCAGGGGTAGAGCCCTGGTCTTCTGGCTCTCAGCCCAGCGCAATTTCCGAGGCACCGCTAGATGTGCGAACATTTCCAGGTTTTCAGCCCTAGAATCTCTGCTGATCCTTCTTCATTAACCTCTGCGAAGGGCGGGATTAGTCCCGCTTGACGGTTGAGGAGATGATGACTCAGCGAGGTTAAAGACCTGCCCAACGTCACACAGCGAGCTTAAATACATCTAGTATTTAGAGACGGGTATTAGCTGGGGAGGTGATGCCCTGCCTGCCTCATCTCTAGCTCCTTAACTGGGTGGCTGTCCCTCTCCTTTCCTCTAGTTCCAGCGAAGATTCAGAAGGGACAGGATAACACTAAGGCGCGCAAAGGCGCCACGGTAACGCCGATTGCCGAGATCTTGGGTGAGCCTGCGCCCGACATGGACTGGGCCAAGAACGGGGAAGACATCGAAGAAGACGACAGGTGAGGGCGGGGACTTGCGCAAGGACAGCACCTGGAGCGGGAGCTCGGGCGGGGCGGGGTCCAGAAACTGGCGGGAGTGGGGCGGGGGCGGGGAACTGGGCGACGAAGAATGGAGCTCAGAACCCCGGCCGCAATCCGCCTAAACTGATCCCAGGCCCTGCCCTCCCCTTCTTCCCACCTAGAGTGTTCTTTGAGATCGACAGTACCTCCACGACGCTGACTATCCGCCAGGCCACGCTGGAGGACAGCGGCAAGTACGAAGTGTACGTGGAGAACAGCCTGGGCATGGACCATCCATCGCTCGCGTGGATGTGGCCTGAAAGGGACCCTCAGACCCGTCGCCCTGGCCGGAGCCCCGGGCGGGTGGGTCAGATAACCCTCCTTCATCTTGCTTAATAAAGCTGCTCTCTTTGACTCTTGGCGTCTATTCTGTTCTTTTGAGACGCCATTTCCCCTGCACTTGCACCCACACTTTTTCCAGATCAACACACCAAGGTCACAGAAAGTTGGGAGCAGAATGTTTGAGGGTGCCTAGTCCAGTGGTTCATTTTGCAGACAGTGAATCTGAGATATGACTTTTCTCACGGTCAAAAAGTTCCCGCACTTGAAAGTCTATCACTCCGTCTTCTCTTTTGCATAGCTCAAGCCCCACCTTCTCCTGGGGGATTTGCACTCTGGCCCAGTCCATCTCAAGGCTGGCCACACTCCCTCAGGTCTCTAGCCTCGCTCTTCCCTGGGACCTGGCTGATACCCCTGGGCCCTTTCCCAGACAGCTCAGGTCCTAATCTTAAATTCCAATCTCAGTTTCTCAGGCTCCATTCTTCTAATTTGGATCCGCCCCCCTAGATTTCTTGGCCACGCCCCCGTGCTCTCCCATAAATCTCACCTCCTCGCTCCTGGTTAGAAAGCAGGAGGATAGTTAAGAACTACAATTCCCGGCAGACTCTGCGAAGGAGTTCTCGCGAGTTGCGAGAAGACACGTGCGCGGAAGGAGCAAGCAGTAGCGGGCGACAGATCTGGCGAAAGGGGACTAGTGGTAAAGGGAACTGATGGAGGGGCGCCGAAAGGGGTAGAGGGCACAGGACTGTAGACCGAGAGCGGCTCGGAGGCCTCGACTGGCTCTCCGCCCTAACGCTCTCGTGTGGGTCCCACAGTCTCTGGCTGCGCGAGGCTAGGATTTATTAGAGTCAGTTGTGCAGTTTAGAGGGTCAACAATCAGTTCTCCGAATCCAGAGATTCATTACTTGTCGTCAGTATCGGTGCTCAGGGCTTGGTAGGTTCGGTGTTTGGGACGCTAAAGAAATCTGTCTTTTGATTCAGGGTTCATCACCTAGAGGTTAGTTTTAGGATTCAGGCTCAGCCTATATAGGTTTATTTTAAATTGGATTTGGGATGCATTATATACGCATCAGAGTTAGTTCAGTACTTGGGAGCCATTCTTAGGATTGTAGTTAGATATTTGGGACTCAGGGTCTGAGGTTCAGTATTCAGGGTTCACTGTTGGGGTACAGGGCTTAAGATCTAGAGTCAGGGTGCAACAATTGAGAATTGATGGGTTTGGAGTTTAGCTTTCTTGAGGTTTGAGATCTGAGAAGGGTGTCTCTTGCTGAGTTGCTGAGTTTCTGAGTTTGCTGAATCTGTGGCCAGGGGGAAGACTGTTAGGGGTCAAATTGTGGGGTGTGAATTTCAGAATTTGGGTGGATTCATTGTGGGGTTTGAAGGCCAGCTGGAGTCTGGGCTGGGATTTGAGTTGTGTGAAATATACGAGGTGTTGTATCCTGGGCAGGTGCATACTGAACTTTGGATTTACATCCTTGGAGAGGGCTAAGTGCTGCTATTTGAGATTTGGGGCCTAGTTGGGGTATGAATCAGGTTCCTGGGTTGGGGTGTGAGATCTGAGCCTGACTTCTCTGTTGGGATTTGAGGTTTAGGTAGCAATCGCCATCATGCTCAAAGCTGTGATCCTGATTGGAGGCCCTCAAAAGGGTGAGGAGCCAGGGGAATGAGGGGAGGAGGCTGGGCTGAAGTGGTTAACTGGGTGAGCACAGAGAGAGGCAGGAAGCTGAAATGTGCTTCTTTCTCCTCTTCCAGGGACTCGCTTCAGGCCTTTGTCATTTGAGGTGCCCAAACCCCTGTTTCCTGTGGCGGGGGTGCCTATGATCCAGCACCATATTGAGGCTTGTGCCCAGGTAACCCCGTAGGCTCCCCTCTCCCACTTCACTTCCTGCTCATCTCCTTCATGCCATATTTCCCCCTTTTCCAACCATGACCTTCCCACAAGGCATAACTTCAGGGACCACCATTTACAAATGAAAATGTGGATGTTGCCCCCTGGAGTTGTTCTGTATGGCTGCCCTACTGTCTTCTCCTAACCTAGTCTCATCTGGCCTCTTGCTCAGATTCCTCTCCTATTTTTAAAGCATGGAATGTGAGATCAGGCAAAAATCTTAGAGACAATTTAACGCTGTAGCTTGGGGAACCTTAATGATAGCAAAGCACAGAACTTATACCTTTGCTCACTGAGGAGCTAATTTCTTTATTGCTTTTGGTATTGAAGCAGGCAGGGTTTTATTTGAATCTCGTTTCTACCCGCTGTAAGGACATGAGCAAATTTCCCAGTCTTTCTGAGCCTTAGTTTCCTTATTTGTAAAAATGGAGATGATTAGACCTGCTTTGTGAGGTGGCGAAGCTTGCAATCGTGTTTGTAAAGTGCCTAGTACAGTATAGGTGCTTGATAAATAATATCCTCATCTCAAGCTCATACTGACAGATGATAAATACGGGGGCGGGGGGCGGAAATGAATGGGTTATTCTTTAACACAGCTTGGTAGGCAAAATCTTCCCTGGGGTGAGCCCCAATTCAGATGTGAGAGGGCAGGGGATAATAGAATAATAAAAGATGTAAGCATCAGGGACTGAGGCTTCTCCAAACTTCCTCATTGTCCAGAGGAGGAAACAGGCCAGAGTGGTAAAGTGAGTGCCCAGGGGCCTCACAGCTGAGAAAGAAACTGTGGTCTCCAGACTTCGCAGCCAGCACCAGGGATTTCTCCCCGTTTTCATTCTTTCCTATCAGATATTTTTTTTCTTCCAACCTTTTCCTTTATCCCCAGGTCCCTGGGATGCAGGAGATTCTGCTCATTGGCTTCTACCAGCCTGATGAGCCCCTTACCCGGTTCCTGGAAGCTGCCCAGCAGGAGTTTAACCTTCCCATCAGGTGTTTGTGCACATGGGTGGTGTGGGGGTTGGGGGGCAGTGCCCCGAACTTCTGGTTCTCCGGAGTGGGGTCCATCCACTGGACTTCACCCTCACACACTAGGAGGATTCTTACTGGGGCATCTGTGAATCCCTGACTTTATTGAGTTTCTCTGTGGGCTGTGGGCGGGTGTACCTCTGGGAGCAGGAGGAGTCAGGTACCGAGGCTCCTCGTATCTGTCTCTCCTGATCTCACTGAGCTGGCCCTGGGGTCCCTGGGGACAGGTACCTGCAGGAATTTGCCCCTCTGGGCACAGGGGGTGGTCTCTACCATTTTCGGGACCAGATCCTAGCTGGAAGCCCTGAAGCCTTCTTCGTGCTCAACGCTGACGTCTGCTCCGACTTCCCGTTGAGCGCCATGTTGGATGTCCACAGACACCAGCCACACCCCTTCTTGCTCCTTGGCACCACGGTCAGGGGGCCCCCGGGGGCTGGAGGGTGCTGAGGGGGGTAATCCAGAAGTGTTTCTGGAATGCAGGGTGTCGGGGAGGCAGCCCAGGGGTTGGACTGGGAACGGGCATCAGGAGGGAGGTGTGCCAGAAACTGCAGGAGCAGTGGAGGGGGCGGTGGAGATCTCAAGCCCTTTGGCTGCTTAGCCGCAGGGAGTGGGTGAGGGGCTGGCGGCAGCTGTCAATTCTCGCCCTTGCTGAAGCCCTGTCTGCCATGGAGGTGCGTGCCAAGTGCTGTAGGAGAGGGAAAGAAAGAGGAAACAGACCCTGCTGCTCTGGAGCTAGCAGGTCACTGTCTCGGTGGGTCTGTCTTTCAGGCTAATAGGACACAGTCCCTCAACTACGGCTGCATTGTAGAGAATCCACAGACGCATGAGGTGAGAGCAGAGAGGGGGCTGGCTTGCTCTGGGGATGAGAAGATGGTGATGAGTGAATGAGGCGTGAGATCAGAGATGGGCGTGGGAGGAGGGAGTGGAGGGCCTGTGTGTGTCATCATTCCCCAGCCACTCCACTTCTGGAAATGCTGCACCACTTGGGGGTGGCCACTCTTGTCAAACAGGTGGGGCATGTCCTCGCTCGTTCATCATGTATCCCTTCTAGAGAAATTGGAGAGAGTGAAAGCGTCACAGTAGATAAATGCCTGGGGTGCTACTGAGAGCACAAAAAGAGGCCCAACCCAGCCTTACCTGGCTGGGGGAGGGGAAGGCTACCTGGAGAAGGTCTGTTTAGATGAAGGAGACGGGAAGGCATTGCATGTAGAGAGACTGGCATGTGCAAGGGCCCGGAGGCAGGAAACCACATAGCATCTCCGGAATTACGGAAGTCAGAGCTTAAGCAGCAAGGCGGAGAGTCTCTGTCCTTGTTTGTGAAGCTCCCTGAGCTTGACTTTCATGCACCCCTTTTATTTGTTCCACCCCTTTTTATTTGTGCATTAAAAATACATGTACACACACACGTGTGTGCATAAATTTTATTCTGAAGTCTTGGGTTAGGCACTAGCTAGGTGTAAGAGAAGTAGAGCTGAAGGACAATCCCTGTTTCTAAGCATCTCAGACTAGTGGGAAACCCAGCCATCACAAATGATACAGTGCTATGTGAGGTGTGGCCAGAGGTCAGGGGTGCCCAGATCTGAGAAGCCAGCTCTGGGGCAGAGTGGCCTCACACTGGGTTTTGAAAGCCTAGTTTTTCAGATGAAGAGATGGGAAGGGGCATTCCCGAAACAGTTATGCAATAGCATGGAGTTATGTTCCGGGAACACTGGGAGGTGGGAAGGAGAAAGGCATGTAGTTCAGACTTACCTTGAAGGTGAAGGCCAACAGCTGGGGGCAGTCTGCGTTGCAGGAAGACCACTCCGGCAGCAGGGAGGATCTGGAGCTCAGGGGGTCTTAGAGGTGGTGGCAGTGGCCTCTTCTCCCCTAACCCCAGCCTACTCTGTCCTCAGGTCCTGCACTATGTGGAGAAGCCCAGCACGTTCGTCAGTGACATCATCAACTGCGGCATCTACCTCTTTTCCCCGGAAGCCCTGAAACCCCTCCGAGATGTCTTCCAGCGAAATCAGCAGGATAGGCAACTGTGAGGCAGGCCCCATGACCCTGTGACCCCAAGTGCCCCTGGGCACAGACACCCCCCCCCCGCCCCCACCACCTCCCCCCAGTCTCTGCAGGCTCCACGTCCACCCGCTCACCTTCCTTGTCCTTCTTGTCTCCACTTGTCATCTCCAGCCGAGCCTCCCCATCCCTCCCTTCCTAACCTCATTCTGTCCCTCTTCCTTATCCATCTCAGTTCGTCTTCTGTCACTGCCTGCCCACTCCCCTTCTGGTCCATTTCTCTCAACCCCTGAGTGTCCCAGAGATGCCTTTCCGAACAGACGGCAACACACACACTTGGGTGCACACAGGCTTGTGTGTGCACGCACATGCACGTGCGCGTGTACAGCTGTACTCTCAGGCTCAGGCTCCCCCTGGAGCACAGTGCCCCAGAGCCCTGCTCACCATCGGCCACAGCCCAGGGTCGTCCTCCTAGGCTGGGATCTCCTTCCCTGGATCCCTGCCTTCACTCCCTCCTCCCCCGCCCATCTCCCATCTCATGCCTCATTCACGCATCACCATTTTCTCACTCCCACCCATCTCTCTGCTTTTCTCTCCATTTCTCCTGGCCTCTCTGTTTCTGCTGAGCTGGCATCTCCACCATCTCTCTCTTTCTCTCTCTCTCCGTCTCTCTCTGTGACTGTCTCTGCCCTCACCAGCTGCCTTCCTCTGGGGTGAGTCTGTCTGTGTTTCATTCCATCCAGTGAGAGGGAGGGCGGATGGTGGGGAGAATGGGAAAAGGGAGGAGAACCCAGATCTGGTCGAAGGGCAGGATGGGCAGCAGGTCTGTGCCTGGGAACACAGCAACTCGGGGGGTGGGGAAAGGGGGGTGATGTGTGCGAGGGTGATGTGTGCAAGGGTGATGGGAGAGCTTCCTGGATGTAAGCATCCCTCTGGAGTAGATCTGACCAGACCTGGAGAGGTGGTGGGATTCGCTTTGATCCCTGTCCCCAAGTGATTGTGTTGGCCCCCAGTCAGGCTCAGCTGGGGAACTGATGTCAGTATCCCTCCCTCCGTGCCAGGGAGGACTCTTCAGGCCTATGGCCCGGGGCAGGTACCATCCGCCTGGAGCAGGATGTGTTCTCCGCCCTGGCCGGGCAGGGCCAGATCTACGTGCACCTCACTGACGGGATCTGGAGCCAGATCAAGTCCGCAGGGTATGGGAGTGGCCTCTGATGGGATGGTTGGGTCGTTTGAGACTTTGGGGCAGTGGGCACAGGCCCTGCTGGCCCCTAAGCCCCCGTTCCACTTTCTGGCCCCTAGCTCAGCCCTTTATGCCTCCCGCCTCTATCTGAGCCAGTACCAGCTCACTCACCCAGAACGCCTGGCCAAGCACACGCCAGGGGGTCCACGGATTCGAGGTACCCATCCTGCCCAAATCCCTAACCCTTGCCCCCAAGCCCAGCCCTGCTCCCCTCTGAGCTGTGACTCCTGGTCACAGATCCAGAGGTGAAGTCTCAGCCCCACCCTCCCTGAACCAGGTGTGGTTTAGGGGCATTTGCCCCCAGTCCTTTCTTCTGCTTCTAGGAAATGTTTACATCCACCCGACGGCTAAGGTGGCCCCATCGGCAGTGGTAAGCAGTGGCCCAGCCCAGAGGAAGGGAGGTGGCCATCAGAATGGGTGGGGTGGTACAGATTCTCCCGAGCTCAGGATGGGGTCTCGCCTTCATGCACGGCCTCAAGCAGGTCCCTTTCCCTTTATCTGTTCTGTGAGGGGACTGGACTGGGGACCCTCCAAGGCCTATGGTTGTGCTGTTCTCCACAGCTGGGCCCCAACGTCTCCATCGGGGAGGGAGTGACCATAGGTGAGGGCGTGCGGCTCCGAGAGAGCATCGTCCTCCACGGAGCCACACTGCAGGTAGGCACCCAGGCCCACGCTGCCCATGTGGCGCCCCCAGAGGCCAAGCAGAAGGGTGTGCACCATGGGCTCTGCATCTGGCCCCTCACTCCCTTCTTGCTGTTTGTCAGGAGCACACGTGTGTTCTGCACAGCATCGTTGGCTGGGGGAGCACCGTGGGGCGCTGGGCCCGCGTGGAGGGTACCCCCAATGACCCCAACCCCAACGACCCCCGAGCCCACATGGACAGTGAGAGCCTGTTCAAGGACGGGAAGCTGCTGCCCGCCATCACTATCCTAGGTATGCTTTCTTGGCCGCTGGACTGCAAGAAACTTCCACAGGTGATGGCCATGCCCTGTGGGAGCATTTGTGTGCCTATGTGTATGTGTGTCTGTGTGTGTGTATTCCTTGAGCAAACATTTACCCAGTGTCTGCTGTGTGTCAGGTCCTGTGTAAGTCACAGGGGGCACAGATGGGCAGGGAGGGGTCCCCCCCACCCCCAGATGGCAGTGGCCCCCAGCTCATTGCCCCTCGCCTCCCCTCCCCATGGCTTCCCCCTGGTGCCCTGGTCCACACTGCAGGCTGCCGCGTCCGGATCCCTGCCGAGGTGCTCATCCTGAACTCCATTGTTCTGCCACACAAGGAGCTGAGCCGCAGCTTCACCAACCAGATCATCCTCTGAGGGGGCCTGCCAGAAGGCCCCCCTGAACTCCAATCTGCTCCCCTGAGGCTCCTGCCTGCCTGCGTGGCCAGCCTTTGTCCAGGCAGGCTCTTCACAGGCACGCTTGCGGGGAGCAACGTGGGTGGTCGGAGGACTCGTGCCCTCCCTCTCCACTCCCTAATAAACCCGGGTGAACCCTGGAGCCTGCATGGACTCCGCTTGTGCCTGGGCTGGGGGTGATGGTGGAAGGGGGGCAGCTGAGTCAGGCCCCCCCACATTAGCATTTAAATTGGAGTCGTTGCTTCGGGCTCATGAATAATGAATCTGGAGCCCTGGTAAATTTCCCCCTCCTACTGCCTCAGCCTCTTTGCCGCTCTGGAGGAAGGCCCTCCAGGCTCCTAGCCCGCCCGTCCTGCTTTCACCCTGATGCTGCCTCCCTGTTCCCCTTCACTGGGCCTGGCTCAGGCTCCAGAGTGTAAGGGTTCCAAGGGGAAGGGGGAGGGATTTCGGTTGGCTGGTGGGGTGCAGGCAGCAGGCATGGGGATTGGGCCTGGGAGCCCAGGGCCCAAGGTTGGATCACCTGATGTCCAGTCTCTTTGGTGCCTGCGCAGTCCCGGCCCGCTTTCCGCTTTGCCAGCTCCATCTGCTCCCAGCTTGGCTTTTGGCAGGATGGGGGGATTCTCCCCCTCCCGAGGCCACGTCTCTTGTCTTCTAGTCCCTGGCAGGGAGGATGAACCTGAGCTGCTGCCTTCTCCAGAAGCGCAGTGGGAGCTACTCCATTCTGGGAGGGGAGGAGCCCTGGCCACCTCCTGCACCCTGGCTCTGCCCTCTGCGGGCCAGTGGGTGGGTAGGTGGAGGGTCCTCAGTCTTCCTTCCACATTCCTGAAGCCCCAGAGAAACCCAGCTCTCTCTGGTGTTCACCCGTGACCCCCGTGTGCCCCTCCTGCTGCCACCCCCTTTCCCCAGCTGTGGGTGCAGAGCTTGGTTGCCAGATGAGCTGGTAATGATCGTAATCTGCTAATTGAGAAGAATCTAATTACCCGAAGAGAATGGGGGGGCAGGGCGTGGGTGGGAGGGAGGAGGGGGTCCTGGCAGCCGGCAGGGGTGGCAGGCAGCAGGGTGCCAGGGCCTTTATCAAAGCCCAGGATTTCAGAGCTTTGGAGCTGGGCACTTAGAAAGATGTGCTTTCTCGGGGGCTGGGCTGAGGCTGACCTGGGTATTGGGCTAGGTGTGACCTCCCAGCCCCTGGAGGCCCCTGCAGGCCGAGTCAGAGCACCTGTGAAACAACCCCCGGGGTTTCAGCACTCCTGATCTACAATACGTATGCCTTGACTCAGCCTCTTGCCTCGTTCCCACTCCTTGTCCCTCCAGTCTCTTGCCTCCAGCCCGGACCTTCTGTCGCCTCTGCGTGGGGTCCGCAGGGGGCTGCAGATGGCTCCTCTAGGCTGGGGTCAGCCCCTGAGGGAAAGGCTGGGAGAGGGGTGGGCCACGGGGCCAGGGGCCCGGTCCCTTCCTCTCCTCCCCCCAGTCCTGACCCTTCTGTTCCGAGTGGTTGGCAGAGGCCATGGCAGCTTCATCATAAATATGATAATTATTTTCTCAGCAAAACACCGTGAAATCCAATAAGTCTGTGTCAGGCCCTGGCCCCCAGGAACCCCCTCCTGGGCCCAGTGGGGCAGGGGCAGGGTCAGTGTTAAAAGTGGAGGGGGCTAGTGAAGCTGAGGTCCCTGTGGTGTGCACACCCCCCCACCCCCCCAACCCCCGCCCCAGGCAGAGCAGGTCACTGTTGTCTATGTGCTTAGGTGGAGAGGGGGCGTCTAAGGAGAGAAGTTCCATTGCTCTCCACTCCCTTCAAGCACAGTCTGGAAGGGGACTAGTCCCCCTCCACCCCTAAGGGAACATCCCAGGACCCAGTACGTGGGAGTGTCCGGCCTCCTGAGGGGAGAGCGCTGGGGTCCCCCTTCCTACCTCTGGGACTTCGTTGGCCCTGTAGGGGTAGGAGGGTGCTGGCCCTGGGGAAAAGAGGGAACTGGGGTGGGAAGTATGGGATGAGGGGGGAGGGATGCGGGGGAGGGGTTTGCTCCTGCCATTAGCGCTTTTTTTTTTTTTCCAGTTTCCATAAAAAGATTATTCTGTAAAATCAGCGAGGGGGAGCGAGCTGGGGGCCGGGGAGGGGGGGGGGGGCGGGTCCCTGGCACCAAGCTGGATGGGGTGACAGAGGAGAGCTGGGGAGGGGGACAAGGGCCTGAGCGTGGAGAGAAATTTGGACGAGCTTCAGGAGCCAGGCAGGGGGAAGAGGCCGAGCCAAGAACACAGATTGGGGGGAGGCCGGCCAGGGTGGGGTGTGGCAGGGACCGGGTCTCCTTCCCACCCCGTCCCCATCCGCTCCCCCTGGCACTTAGCAGCCATTATCGGGGGAGCAGATTGCAGCCCCTCCCCCTCTCCGGGAAGCCGGCACAGCTGGGGCCCCGCCACATCTGCCGCATCAGCACGGAGCACAGCTGGGTGTGCCCAGAGCCGCGCTCCCCAAAACACGACGTGGGGGCGGGGGGGCCAGGGAGAGCCCAGACCCCCTGAGACAGACACACTGACACCTCTGCCAACAGACACAGACTCCTGGAGGCGAAGCTACACCCACCGCCACACAGGCTCCCTCGAGCGCGGAGACAGGAACACTCACAAACATGCAATTACTCTGCCCCGCCCGCCGCCCTCGCCCCTTCCGCCGCCTCCTCCCCTTCCTTCCCTCGAGGCTCCCCTCCGCCGCCCGGGCCACCTCTGAACCGCCCTCGGCCCTCGTCCGTTGGGAGCAGGGGTTTCGCCCTCACCAGACACCCTTCTGGAAGGTTTGAAGAACAGGTGGGCAGCGGGTGGTAAGGGGCCTCGGGTCTGAGGCTTGAGCTGGGGGAAGCCACTGCCCCACTCCGCGCCCACCGCCCCTACCCACAGAGAGACACCCTCCCCTCTGAAACACTGGTCCTTGCCACCCTGGACGTAAGTGGGGGGGGTCTCCATCCCCCAGTGGGCCCTTGATTGTGGTCAAGGTCCCTGTGACACGGTTTCCACTGGCCGCCTCAAGGAGGCGCTGCGTGTCCTGTCTGTCCAAGTTCTAATCGGAGCTCGGAGGCTCCCAGGGCCCGCCCCTGCCACCCGCCTCCCCGACAGTCTCCAGTAGCCTCCCACTCCCAAGGAATGCCCCTCTCCGCTCAGCTCTGCTACCCCGACGGGAGCAGCGTATGGGGGCTCCATCAGTGGCGGAAAAGTACCCCCTCCTCAGCAGAGATGAGCAGGAGTCCGTCCCCTCCCCACTCCTCAACCAGGCGACGACCACGTGTGGCCTCTGGTTAAATCCTGCCCCCTCGCAGCCCTCGTTTCCCGCACTCATCTCCTTGGCCCCGGGGTCCGGCCCTCAGCCTTCTCCTCCCCGCCTCCCACCACCCCGGCCCCGGCCCCTCGAAGCTTTAATCCCTCCCGCTGCCGTACCGCCTTATCTGCTCCCAGCAGCTTTCACTGCTGCAAAGCCCTCTCCCCTCCTCCTTCCCTGGATCTTCTCCCCCCTCCTTCCGCGTCCTCTCTTCTCTCTGACCACCACCACCCCCCACCCCCGGCCTGCCTCTGCCTCTCGGGCCCCTACGATGACTCCTGGCTGCCACCAGATACGAACGCCAGTGCCCTTGGCCCTTTCTCCAGCCTCAGCTCCGAGGTTGCCAGCTGCCTACCCGGCCTCACACTGGCCTCTCCCCACCCCAACCCTCCCCCGACAGACTCCACAGACTTGGTCAGCTTCTGACCAGCCGAGATTTTGCCTCTTTCTTCCCTCCCTGCCCTCCCTTTTCTGTCCCCCGCCCCTTGTTCCTCCAGCGGCCCCCTCGATCTCAGACGTGGTCCCCTTCAACCCCCGGTCACCCACTGCCCCACTGCCTCGGCCTGGGCGGGCCCGCAATCCTGATGCGGAGACGGGTCAAGGCTGGGCTGACCGGCCCTCGGACAGAGCAGGGGGTGCCCAGTGCTGGCGGCCAGTGGGGGCAGGGCCCGGCGGCGGGACGCTAACCCTCTTCAGTTGCCTCAGATCACGTCCGGGCCTCCCCACCCCCTTCGCCGGGACTCTCATTAACCGCTTCTCCTGCCTCGTCCGCGGCATAAATAACCCAGATAAATCAGCCGCCGTCCGCCCCCCGCCCCTCGGCCCCCGCACAGCCCGTTTGTCACCGCTGCTCGCTCACCAGCCAGGACTGGCCCAGTCCCGGCCTCTGCCCCCCCCCCCCCCCGATCCGTGTCCCTTTCCCACCCACGTCTGTCCCACACTGGCCGGTGCCCGGGGTCCCCAGCAGAGCCAGGCCTGGGACAGGTATCAGCTGGGCTGGGCAGGGTGGCAGGGGGGTGTGCTCTGGGAGCTGAGGGCAGCTGGGGCCTCGCTCTAGGACCATGCTGTCTAGGAGTTTGGGGGGTCATGTCATTTATGAGTGGGTTCACCCAGGCTGGGCGCGTGAGACCCACGAAGAGGGTGGGGGGAAGGGGCCAATGTAGCTTAGCTTGGGGGTCCCAGCTGGGAGAAGAGGCAACCCAAGGCCTGAGGGTGCAGGGCAAGTTAGCTGGGAACGCCCAAGCTGGATCCTGAGAGGCCTCCAGGTCTACCTTCTGGAGCACTTTGCCCAAATAAAACCTCCATGCCCCCTACCAGGGGGCTCTGAGTCAGAACCCTCCGGCCCTCCCTCACCTATCCGCCCCCCATTCCCCCGTGCTGCCTGATCAGGCCATACAGATGCGCCACTCTAATCGCTGCCTCAGTCCATCCACCAAGCTCTCTTTGTCGGGAAGCCTACTTCAGCCAGGTGGGGGTGGGTGGAGAGCTGGACTGGGAACAAGTCTGGGCAGTGGGGCCAACGGGAGGGTGGGCTGAGGATGCCTGGCTAAGGCTCCTTGTCTTGACCCTGCCCTCCCCCCATCCCCCCAACTCCTCCCCTCCAACCTGCACCCACATTCCCAGCCCCAGAGTCCTGGGCAGCCCCTCCCTCCTTGCTCACACCCGGCCCAGGTCCCAGCTAGCCACACTTGGCCCTGATGCTCACTGCAGGGGGCAGCCGGTCCCCTGGGAGTGGGTGGGAGAAGCAGGGGGGAAAGGGAAGGGGGAGCTTGGGCGCAGGGCTGGGGGTGGGGGCGGGGAAGAAGCTGGGCCGGGCCCCAGGGACCAGCTGGGCAATGAGCCGGGGAAGCAGCCGGGAGGCTAAATGAGGGAGATTATCACCCAACTGCAGCCGGGCAGAGAGGGAGGCAGGCGGGGAAGCGGGGAGAGGCGGGGAGAAGGGACGGGGCCAGAGGGGAAGGGGGTGTAAAGGGGATGGGGTGGGGGTGACAGGGGAGGCTGGAGGGACTGGGGGGAAGGCCAGGGGATGAGCTGGAAGACCATGGAGGGGCTCCCACTGAGCACAGCCATATTCCCGGGGTCTGGGAGACTGGATGGTGGGGACTTGGGAACAATTGGAGACAGCTGGCTGTGGGGCAGCGGGAGGGGGGGCCTGTGCGGCTCACTGCTGCTCCACTTTGCAGTGGCCTGGAACTCCCCTCACCACCCTCCGCCCCCTGACCCCCTTATCCCCCCTACACAGGGTTACCACCCAACTTCACTCCTGCTAGAGGCTGAAGGCTTCCTGAAGCACCCTCAGGAGGAAAAGGGTGTGCTTTGGGCTCACGATGGAGGCCAGTTATGTTGGGGGACACGACCTGTGTTCACAGGACACTTTAGTAATATGCACGGAGTCCTGGGCAGCAACCAGTGCTGGGGGAGAGCTTGGGGGGTAGCTCCCCGTTTTCTTGGCAGAGCCCCAGACTGAAGTAACCTTAAAAAAGCAATTAAATCACCTTAAAAAAAACAGTAAAGAAAAATCAATACCAGGAGAAAGGGGGAAGAGAGAGGCTGGGGAAGACAAGGAGGTGGCGGAGGAAGGCTGGAAGGGTCTGGTGGTCTACAGGGAGGGGTGAGCATGGCAGAGGCTGCCTAGGCAGGGGCAGCGATGGGGGCTCTCGGTGGTCACTTGGCGACTCTGAGTGCTAACTCAGCAGCTGCTCTCAGTACCAACCCCTGTCCCCTCTGGGATTTGGCCAGACGAAGCCCCTGGCCCCAGGAGTCTGGGCTCCTCAGAGTGAAGGAGCTGGCCCAGCCAAGGGGCCCCTGAAGAAGCTACTTTGATGAGAGGCTGGGGCCAACCCCTTCAGGGTGCTACACAGGGCTGGGGTTGGGGGGGCTGTGTGTGTGTGCGGGGGGGGGGGCTCCACGCTTGGGTGACCTCCAGTGGACATGGCCTGACCTGGGCTTGCAGCCAAGGGTGTGTAGAGCCATTCCCTGCCCCCCTGGGGAGCCACTCCTAGGCCCCTTTCTGGGGTAAGGCAGGCCTGCCGCAGGGGAGGGGTGGCCGCTGGGCAGCGGGTGGACCTCAGGCTCTAATCCCAGGCTGCTGCCGTTTCCCTCAGATCGATTCCCTTCTCACTTTTTTTTTTCAGCTGCTGGTTCCGCGGCTCGGATCGATGGAGCCGCCTTCCCCGCCCCTCTGAGCTTCCTCTCCCTGCTGCTCATTAGTGCCCCGATTAATCAGGCCCCCCCTTTCCTCTAGGGGACAAGTGCTTCCTCTCCCATGAGGGCTTCACTCTCGCACAGCTCCCCCCTCCAGGGCACAGGCATCTCACTGTGACCACTCCACCTTGGGGGTACCCCGGCATCATCCCTTCTGGGTCAGCCACCATGGGCCCCATCCTGCCTCTCCTCTGCAAGGCGCAGCCACCCCAGCGCTCCCCTGCCCCTTTGCCTGGCACCCCCTGTGCCTTCTTCTTTAGGATTGTATTCCCTCCAATTCAAACCCAGCACATCTGTGCTCCCTCCAGAACCCCCATTTGGGCTCTTCCTGACCTCCATGCCATACCCTCTCCCCCACATCATACCGCCTCTGCTCCCTGGCCTGGCCACCCAACACGTTCCCCCACCCCCACCACAGGCCTGGCTGTGGCAAGGGATTTGGGAAATATTTGGGGAGACAAAGTGGCCACAGATGTTTGTGCCAGCCAGGGTGCCCTCTATCACAGACACACGAGAGACTGAGTTTGGGGATGGAGATGAAGTGGGGGAGAGGGCGGCCAAAATCGGAGCGCAGGTAGGGGCATGGTGGATGTTAAGTCCAGAGCAAAGCTCTAAGGAAGTCAAGTATCTGGATGGAGCCATCACTGACCCCTTGTCTGTCTTGCCTGCCGTTCACTACCCTCTCCTCCCCTCCCTCATTCAAACAAGTGGCTTTCCCGAGGAGTTCTCTGGAAGGTGCTGTGAGTGGGGTAGCGAGGTCAGGTGATGGTTGGGTGCTGCTGTTAGGAGTCAGGGAGGCCAGGAGGGGGGGGATGGAGTTGGCTGACCCTTCTCGGGGTGTGGGCCAGAAAAGTGGCAGAATAAGCTAAGGACTCTGGGTGCAAACCTCTTCCCTGGTGGCCTGGGAGTGGGGCCAGGTGGGGACCCCACGCATGACGAGGGTGTAGCAAGAGTTTGGGGGCCTCCCGACGAGGTCCCAGGCAGGGCCCGGAGATCCCTGTCTGGGGCTGGGGGCTGCCCCCCTCGCCTGGCCTGGCTCCTGCCGCCCGTGCCGCCGGTGAAACGCTGTTGACATGTCCTGAATTATTAAGCACGGGGTGGGCTCCGGAGCACATGCTGAGCGGAGCGGCTGGGGCTGCACGGCGTGGCGGAGCAGCGCTCGCTCACTCGCTCGCTCGCAGGGACACACGCAGGGGCTGACAGCTGTGCTGGTGCTGATAAGGGAAGCCACAAGGAGACGATCGAGGAGAGAGACAAGCGGCGGCAGAGGCAGAGGCATCACCAGGGCTGCGGAGCTGCTGGGAGTGGGAGTGACTCCCCCACCTAGGGCCCCCACCCTGTCCCCATCCTCTTCCCCGTTTGCCCTGAGTTTAGAAGAGCCGCTGCTGCCAGCGCCGCCACTCCGGAGGGCACCGGGGGCTGCTGGCCAGGGAGGGACAGGGGCAGGAAGGCTCTGGCTGGTCCCAGCAGCTGGGGACAGATGCCGATCGAGATTGTGTGCAAAATCAAATTTGCAGAGGAGGATGCGAAACCCAAGGAGAAGGAGGCAGGGGATGAGCAGAGCCTCCTGGGGGCCGCTCAGGGGGCAGCAGCCCCCCGGGACCTGGCCACCTTCGCCAGCACCAGCACTCTGCATGGGCTTGGCCGGGCCTGTGGCCCAGGCCCCCATGGACTGCGGAGAACCCTCTGGGCAATGGCCCTCCTCACCTCTCTGGCTGCCTTCCTGTACCAAGCGGCCGGCCTGGCCCAGGGCTACCTGACCCGGCCTCACCTGGTGGTGATGGACCCCGCTGCCCCAGCCCCGGCGGCCGGCTTCCCCGCCGTCACCCTCTGCAACATCAACCGCTTCCGGCATTCGGCCCTCAGCGACGCCGACATCTTCCACCTGGCCAACCTGACCGGGCTGCCCCCCAAAGACCGGGATGGGCACCGTGCCGCTGGCTTGCGCTACCCGGAGCCCGACATGGTAGACATCCTCAACCGCACCGGCCACCAGCTCGCCGACATGCTCAAGAGCTGCAACTTCAGCGGCCACCACTGCTCTGCCAGCAACTTCTCCGTGGTGAGTCCTGCCAGGTGGCCCGGCCGGCCCGGGGTGGCTGGAGGCTGGCGGTGGGGGTGCGGGTGGTGCGCAGGGCATCCTCGACAGGGCTTCCCCTCCTTCCGCTGCCAGAGGCTGGCCTCGTGTCACCCCCCAGCCTGGTGTTTCCCTCGGGGCTCCCCGGCGGGGAGCAGTGGACGCTCCTGGGGGCTTACCCAGCCGCTGTTGCTGCTCCTCCGCCGGCTCTCCTGCTGCCGCAGCGCCAGGGTCTGGGGGCCCAGGGGTCCTGGGATGGGCCTGGGGGGGCCCGGAAGCCAGTCAGCTTGCTGGGAAGGGATGCACCAGGCCATGGCCAGACGAACTGACCCCTGCTTTTCTCTTACTCCCCTTTTCTTCTGTGGCCGCTGGATTTTTCTCCCCCCCACCAAACAAGGGCGTTGGGGAGAGCGTATCTGGGGGCTCCAGCAAGGGAGGGACTCGGGGCTGCATCTGGGGGAGCCGACCTGGCTGGCAGACTGGATAGAGCCGATCTTCGCAGACACTGGATGCCAGTGTCTCTCGCCGTCTCTGTGTCTCTCACACACACCCCCTTTCACAAACTCCCTCACACATCCCTCTTTCATGCTCCCAGCTTCTCCGGCTGCCCAGGCCCTCCCTCTGTTTCCTGGTTCTTGCTGCTCCCTTGCCTGGCTCTGGCTCTTACACTGAGAATCACTCATTCACTCGTACAAGCGTGGCTCACCCTCACTGCTGCCCCCAGCACACACGTGCGTACAACACACACACATGTGTACACACACGCACACGCACACCTACTGCATGGGGACATAGTTCCTGCACACTCTCACACACACTCAGCGTCCCTGTCGCCACATTCATGTGCACACCTGCACACCCACGCACGCATCCAGAGAGCTACTCATCCACGTGCCCACAGCCCAGCCCTTACTCAGCTGCCCAAGACAGGGTCACCCCCTGGATACTGACCCATCTTGTGACCCCAGCTATGTCAGCCCTGGCTCCCTGTCTCACATATGTGTGAATGCACGTGGAGACACACACACTCTCACATGGAGGCGTGGGGCCACCCTCCCATGCACACCTCCCATAATCCAGGTGTGTGAGGTGTGTGTGGGGGTGTGTGTGTCTTGTATGCTGTCTGTCTGTTGGTGCTCCATTCACCCACAATCACAGGCTGTGTCTGTTATTGCCAGGGCTTGAGATGCTGTCCCCGGTCCAGTTTACTCCCGGCATTATGTATGTGTGGAGTGTGGGGAGTGTGTTTTCATTCTTGTGACCGTGCCCAACACATATGCAAATACATGGCATCAACATGGTGCCCGTCCAGCCCAGGCTTTAAAGCCAGCCCCAAATGGGGTGCTCTTCCTTGTCATGACCCGGGGCTCCCCACCCAGGGTCTCCTTCACTCACTGCCTCAGTAGCACCAGGAAATATGCTCCAGCCATGTTTCTGCCCCCACCAAGCCTGCAGCCTCAGGGTCCTCCTGCCATGGGGTGGGGGCAGTGGGGTGGAAATGGAGGAAGGGACGAGAAGGAGGACTGTGCTGAGAGAGGAATGGGGGCGGGTGGGCGCTGGCCTTGTGGTCCAACCACACACCCCTTCCTCCAGGAAAAATCACTGCTTTCAAAGCGATTGTCCCTAAGAAGTGTGTGAATGTGGCCTCTCGGGTCCCAGGGGCTCCTCCTGCGACATCCCCACCCGTCCGGGTTGGTGGGGGGACAGAGCCCAGTGTCAGCAGGTGTTGTTGGGGCAGAAATCAATGGGGGCTTTGTGTCCCTGAGTGGGAGTTTGTGTCCCAGGCCCCAGTGCAGGGGTGGAAGGAAAAGGGGAAGAGTGATGAAACCTCAGTGGGGAGGGAGCGATAGGGGTCAAGGAAGCAAGGTGAGGGAGGCCGGAGGTTCCTGCCTGGCCTCCAGGGAAGGGGGACGTGCCTGCAGGACGTGGGAACGGGGAGTCCCGGGATCAAAACTGGTGAGTCCCTTTGAATGTGGGGATGGCCAGGCACAGCTGAGGGTGGATCTCCCACAGGCCCTTTGCAATGGAGAGAAAAGGACTAAAAACTGTGGTTTTCTGCTCTGGCTGCAGCACGACAGTGAGGGGCGGAGGAGCAGAGCCCGCACTGGGGGAGAGGAATGTCCCTTGGACCCACCTGTCCCCCCACCCAGCCTAGGCCCCGTACCCTTCTCCCAAACCTCAACCCCCATCTGCCAAGTGGAACTCTTCCCTGGACCTGGCATTCTAGGGCTGAGTCCTTATTGGCAGTTTACCACGGTCTGGCATTATGGTTGGGATGGGAGGATCCATGGCAATGGGGAAACTGGGAGTGTGCTGTGTGGGCAAGACTGGAGAAGGGGTATGGAGAGACAAAGACATCAGGCTCTCTGATGGGGACATGAGGTCACAGTAGACTCTGTGGTGAGAATATAGAGCCCACGATGGGGATTTGGGATCCATGGAGGGGAGACAGGTACAGGGATCAGTGATGGGAACCTCCAGCCCATGGGTGCTGAGACAGACAGTGACAGCGATGGATGGGGCATGGGTAAGGGGCTGGTGTGTGTTTTCTGCTGCTTTCCCCGTTTTCTCCTTCCCACTCCCCACTCTGCTGTGACCTTTCCTCCGAATCCAAGTTAATAAATGTCACATTTTCCAGCCTATTTTTACTCTGGGTAATGCACCCTCCCCCAGTCCCCTCAGCTGCAGCTCTTGCTTCTGTTACCACTGCCATCGCTCTTACCCCTGGCTCCCTGATGTCCCCTCATCGACTTCCAGCCAGTCACTCAATCAACACGGAATTCTGAGCACCTGCTATGTGCCAGGCTCCCTGCCAGGTGCTGTGGGGGCAAAGAATGGGGGAGCCCTGGTCCCCAGTCCCTGTCCTCAAGCAGCCTCCAGTCTCGTGGTGGGGCGGGGACGGGGAGACTTCAGAGCTTAACCAACCATGCAAGAGTTAACCAGCCATGCAAGCAGTGTCAGGAGGCGCCAGGATTAATTGCCAAACGAGGTACATGGATAGTGAGAGTGGATAGTGAGAGCCAGGGTTCGGAGAGGCACTCTGCTGAAGAGGGCTGGGAAGGCTTAAAAGGGATGAGGCAGGCTGGGCTAGGTCTGGGGAGGAGGGGAGAGGGTTGAGAGAGAGGAGAGGGCTCCTGGGTGGTGGGGGATGCTCCCACCTCTCCACCCATACGCGCCTCCACCTAGCTCACCCCATCTCTTCTCTTTTCTGCACCCCCCCCCGCCTCACCCAGTCTCATACCAACCCACTCCCACCACCACCTCCTCCTTCCATCACCAACTATATACTCTCTCTTCCTCCTCGATTCCTACCACCATCGGCTCCCCCACCCCAGTGTGCCAAGCCCCATCCATACTTTCCCTGGCTGCGGCTTGCTCTGAGCCTGCCCACTTACTAGAAGGCAGAAATCACTCTTTCTCCCTAGGCTTCGTTTCTTCAGCTGTAAAATGCAGCTCTAAAACTCAGCATCTCCTCTCATCTGGGGATTGTATGGTGAAGCAATCAAGTGTGTGGGTTCTGGAGCCAGACTGCCTGGATTCGAACCTTGGCTGTGTGGCCTTGGAGAAGTCAGAAAGCTGCTGTGAGCATACACTTCTGTATTCGTTAAAAACAATAGTAGAACCTAAAAAAAAATTGGGTGGTTGTGATAATCAAAAGAGATGGCTGTAAAGGGCTTAGTCCACTGCCTGATGCACACACACACACACACACACACACACACACACGTAGTGTGCACTCAGAGTGTCAGCTGTTAAAAACGCCACCACCCCAGCTCCTGGCCCTCCTTAACCTGACTGTTCCCAGCACCACCTGCTGTTTTCCAACCCATGTGCTGGCATCTTCGCTGCTCTCCACCACCTAGCCTTGCTCCTCTTCTGACCCTCGAGCCCGCACCCCACCTCTGTCATAGCATCCCCATGCTCCCCACTCCTCCCCAGGATTCAGTCACGTGTGTGCGTGCAAAGGAGTGCACACACTTGCAGTCTATGCTGAACCACAGAACACTCTGTGATGATGGAAACATCCTGAATCTGTGCTATCCACGGTGGTCATCACTAGCCACACTGGCCAGGGAGCATCTGCGGTGTGATTAGCATGGAGGACCAACATTACATTCAAACAGCCGAGCATGGCCAGTGACTTCAGTATCGGACAGTGGGGCTCCAGGTGATTGTGGGGACGGGGTTCAAGCTGCCAGGTTGGGGAGGGTAGGCTTTCCAACTGGTGTCAAAGGATATGAAGTGGTGGCGGTGGGCTGTGATCTGAAGTCTGGCCGTCTACTAAGGTTCCAGGTTGAGCCAAGGATGGGGCCTGTGCCTGGGGACATCGAGGTGTCTGCTCACCACGTGAGCAGGTACACCTTACTTCCCAGGTATAGGATGTGACCTTGGTCTTTTCTGTTCTGTTGTCTGGGAAACTGAGGCACAGGGAAGGTGGAGAATCCGTGAGGAGGTAGAGGGAGGCCAGCTCATCTCAGTTTGTCCTTTGGGGTCTGGGCAGCCCCCTGGAGGGGCAGGTGACTGGGGACCTGTGTGCGCTTCCCTGTCTCTATCCCCTCTCAGACTTCCCTCCCCCTCCCAACCCTCCTTCCCCACGTGCTGGTGACTGCCGTGACTATTAATCACTCGCCCTGTTCTCTTCCTCTCTACTAATCAGGCACAATTAGACAAGGCCTCTTCCAGCTGGGCAGTCCCCCTCCCTGCCCTCTTCCCTCCTCTCCCAGCCCCACCCCAGCTGCCATCAGGATGGCTCGGAGGCAGAGGGAGCAGCAAGTCGCCCTCAATCACTCTCTGGCTGCTCCAGCCCCTAGTTGGAGGCTCCTCCACCATCTTCTGCCTTCAATCCAAGCTTCCACCAGAACCCGCCCCTTTCACAGTGCGGTCAAGCCAGTACCCCCTTCCCTGGTATGGTCAGGCCAGTACTGACAGTCTCCACACCCGCTCTTTGATTGTAGCAGGGGCTCCTCTGCAGACATCCCAGCTCC